CAGATCCCTCCACACCCGTCCTCTCTCTCTGTATTTTTGTCCCCTTCGTTCTCTCTCTCTCGCCCATGTTTCATTCTTTGAGATGATTTTTTGTGGGACAAGTTGCCTGGAAGAGGAAGAAGTAGAAAGCAACATTGAAATTGTAGTAGATCTACACTAGATATAGACTATTAAATCATTTAGCGAGTTAGATCTAGCCTTTTTTTTTTTGTTTTAATATTTGTCTCCCGTTATAGAATCTACAACTCAAACTATTTGAATAGATAAAAACCTGATTATACTGCCATTGATTTGTACAATTCTTTTGTTGAATCTGATTTGTGAAAATTTTATCCCATTTGATAGTGGAACCCACACATACATACTAGATGCTTGAAGAAATTGAAATCCCCTTTATCTCTGTGTGTTTTTGTAATTAAAGGAAAAGAAAGAGTTAGCTTAGATTGTGGTCTCTGCTGTTGTCATCTTTGCGTGAGTTAAGTTAGCTTAGATACCAGAAAGACTTGCGGCCAGTCAACTGGTATAACAAAAGAGGTTATCATGCAAGTCGATTCTGGTTGATTAGCTGTAAGTTTTGTTGTATTCTCGTCGAGCCCTAGTTAGGTTAAAAACATTAGCAGGTGAACTATCGTCCGGATGAACAGTTGAATTGTTCTCCCTCTTGCCCTTGTTTCATCATTGCCGACCCTTCCACGTCCATGTTTGAACCCTACAGAGTGGAGCTGCCTCTGTAGGGAGCCATCTCTATCAGAGAGAACCAACGAAAAGAGGGATAACTCTTGTTGCCATCAAGGTGGATTTTTTCTGCAGGAGGTGCYGAAAATAGTGAAGGAGGAGGGAGAGGGAGAGGGATGAAGGATAAAATTGAGTTAAAAAAAAATATATATCACTATGACGGAATGCTAACAGTAAAGATAAAGCTAATCAATAGCATTAGACAAGAATATAGTTAGTCAATTAGGTAAAYCATAAATATAGTTTAAGAAATTTACCCTTTGATTGATTAATTGCCACCTATGATGATACCGGTTGATTTGGTTTCTTACTGGCTTTTACCGTATCATAATTGTACCTTTTTTAGCCATTGCCTGCACGCCTTGGGCCTAAGCGCAACCGAGGCCCAGTCCAACAAATAGTAGACTTCAAAATTAGACCCTATCCGGCTCATGGGTTATAAACATCAGTCCTCCCCTCATGATATCTTGCTTCTAAAAACTTCAACTAGACTATTCATCCCTTGGGAACATCATTAGGTATTATAAATTAGAGCTTCAATTCAAATGCATGTAGTTCAGATGTATAAAGGGCATGGAACAGCTAGACTATTCACCCCTCAAACAGATTTAAATGATCTAAATATTTTGGGGCTGGAAGTTTTTGTTTTTGTTTTGGAAAACAAAATCATGCATCTTGGCAAACACCCCTTAAGAGGTTTTATATATCTGCACAGCCTTTAAATGTGCTAAGTTTTGGATCAACAATGTCTACTACCACAGAAAACACTATTGATATCACTTCAAAGATTCACATTCTTTTATAAGTATAAAACAAAATCATTTGTGTTTGGTTCAATAAAAATAAATTAGTTGTAAGTAAGGGGCAACCACAGCTATTTATTTTGTTTGGAATCTACTATTCATACGGTGGATTTGAATTAGATTTAATTAACCTACTTTATCTCAAGAATGAGACCCACATCAATTAACCCATTGAACACTGATTATAAGGCCCAAATCCCAACTATATTTGAATCACACATGTTCACCATTCCAAACCATCAGGGGCCACATTCCTTCCTAAATTAAGAGTTCTGAAATTTTATCTCACTACATCAACTCTCAGCTTGCATGTCAGCTTGTTTCCATGTATTCAATTAGCTAGGTTCCATGAATGGAGTACTCTTTTATAATTCTATTCATGTTTACTATTGCTCCTCATTCATCCCAATTCCTCATATGTACATCCTACTTCCTCATTAACCAACAATTTACTTCATAGACAAATTCCTCCATTTTATCCACCCATTCTAGTCTATAGACAAAAGTCTCCTCAATTTTTCCTTTCTATGGACAATGAACCCAAAAACTATTGGCATGAGCTGATTCCTTAGAATCTTCATTTGTTGCAGCTCAATTCTGAATGCAAACCACACCACCTACATAAGATAAGCCCCAAATTCCTCTCTAGAAGAAGAATATATAGGTCTTGTTTAGGGTTAAACCCTTGATTTGGACTATTGTGGCCCCTATGAATTGTGATTATTTTATAGATGGGCCTATAGTACCCATCGTACACATCATGATAGTTAATATTTTAATCTTACCGTCCTAACTTCTAGTTTTGAAGGGGATAGTCTCTTCTGTCCTTAAAGAGGAATAGAGGATCCAACACAGCTTAAACTCATCTAGTTTCTTGTGTTGAAATTAGACCTGGCAAAGTTGACCCAGTCCGAGAACCCGACACAATGACCTGACCCAACCCAACTCGGAAAAAACTGGGTTGGGTTGGGTTGGGTCATGGGTCAACCTGCTGATCCGATTGTCAGATCTAATTAAAATTATTTATGCATTGTTAGAAGTTTCCATTCTTTAATTATTTCTATTTAGTTTTTATTCTTTCTTGTTTACTCTTTGAATTGTTAAATGTTCAATTTTATTTTATATTTGGAATTTTAAAATTAGTTCCTTTAATTTTGATGTTTTTATGTATATTTTTTTTAAATTTTAATTATTTCTTGGGATGACCCGAATTGACCCATGGGTCAACCCTAACCTGAACATTTAGGGTTAGGGTCTAGCATTTGACAACCCAACCCAAAACAAACCCAAAGTGTATTGACCCAACCCACCCAACCCAATTGCCAGATCTGGTTGAAATAAATAGAAGAATAAATTACAGATTATCACCCTATTTTTTGGGGGTAGAAACACTTAGCCCCCCAAACTTTCATTTGCAACATAAACCTCTTTTGAACTGTCAAATTCCCACACTTTGCGCCCCCTTCTATTCTATCAGTTAGCTTCAAAAAAGGTTAACGTATGAATGTCATGTATTTGTTAAACATTTCTAAATCCCCAAACTATCATTTCATTAATTTGTGAGGCAATTTTGTCCCTTCTCTTCTCTGAGTTATCTTTCTCGTCCAAGCGGTCAATAAAGAGATTAACATGTTTTGCTCATTCCATTTTTATCATTTTGAAGTATTGTCCTTATTCCTTCATATGAATCAAGAAAGGGTATTTTAATAAATTAACCTTTTTCCAACAATTTAATTAAGGGAGAGGGGGCAAAGTGTAACTACCCCCAAAATACAGGGTGATAATCTGTAGTTTACCCTAAATAGAATTTCAAGAATAATAGAGCTGCCATGAGTACAATGTAGTCAACCTGAACAGTTGGGTTGTCCATATCATATGCCCTGGAAATGGAGTTTTGGGATAAAAAAAGGAAATTTTTCTGAAACAAATCAGGATGCGACTTGTACTTTAACTTGGTTTTCTGCTCTATTCAAAGATCAGTTTCTCACTTTGAGTGGGTTGCAGAATAAAGCAGTCTACTTAGATGAATTTTTATAAGAACGACAGAAGAGAATTCGAAAGACAATGCTCATCTTCAGTCTAAATTTAGAGACATTGCTTCAATTGATATATAATATGTTATAATTGTATAGATGGATGCAATACTAGAGTGCTGATATTCTAACTAATATCATCAACTTACTTCAATTGATATTTCTTCTTTTATGGTTAACAGGAACCCAAATTTCTTTAATTATTTTAATTGTACATTTCTCATATCAAGGAGAGAAAAAAGATTAGGGTTCCATGGACCCACGATTCAAGCATTGACATGTGTGATATGCAAAAATTGCACATTATGTGTTTGGAGAGGGGTGATATTCACGAATTCAAAATATTTTAGGTGTCATAAACTTAAACATGTCTTAAATGACCTTGAAAAATTGACTAATATTTTAAAAATCTATCTGGCCCAACCATTTTTATTTTTAGGTTATGGGTCATTGGTTCGATCATTCGGTTCAAATGAGTCAAATCATACTACATCAGCAATATATAAATTCATACCCAAAATTTACTAGTAAYAATTTGAACGGTTCAACCAACTAGATCAACTATAGATTGAAAATATTGGTATGGATACTTTGAACCAGTTAGAGCTAAGTGAGGCCAAGAGTTGCAATAATCACAGGAAATTATTAGAAAAACTTCCAAACTAATGCATGGATTACTGGATTAGGTGGTTAAAAGTCAGCTAATTATACTTACTAATCTCTATTAATTAGGTGGAATCCATCCACATCAATATTCTTATTAGAAGACAAAAGCACCCCGGCCTCTCCTCATATACATTGTCTCTGACTCTGATGAGGGATTTGTTGTCTTCAACTCAACCAATTTACCAAATATGGGAAGGTAAGTGCCCAAATCAATTCCATTCTTCTAATCTCTTGCTCTACGTCAGCATGCCTAGCTGTAATCTCAAATGAATCAAAACTGGGTCCTACTTCTTGCATGTCTGCCATGTGTCCCAATGCCTTATCTGGACTGGACTATGGTCTTCATATATTTGTTTAATATTTTGGATTAGATAATTGTTCAATAACCCAAAACCCCACTTAAGGTTTAAGCTACTTGCAGAGATAGATAAACCACAGTTTGACGGAACCGACGTGCATCTGCACTACAGCAAAGATACAGAGAGAGAGAGAGAGGGGCAATGTTTGGGAAACAGACAGCAGCACAGAAGTGGAAGGAACACTGTGAGCTCAGCAAAACAAAAGCAGAAAAAGGAGGTTTGGAGAGAGTTGGGTTGGTTCCAAAATGTGATTGTTATATTTATATTTAGTCGTTTCTCTCTCCTTCCACCGATTCAGAAATCATAAAATTTTCGTGTGTTTCTTTCTGAACTCCACCTGCTGACCTTCTCTCTCTCTCACACACTTTTACTTTACCTTCCCTCACCCAAACCAGCCTCCCCCGCTTTCACTTCTTTTCTTTGCATCGTTCCTCGCCAAATTCTTTCTCCATCAATTCCTCCGCTCTTTCTTTTCTCTTTTTTCAATTCCTCTGTGTTAATTTTCATGAAGACGACCGAGCCTCTTTAGATGTTTTCTCCTCCTCTCCCATCCATATTTTAATAGATTTCTCGTAGATATCGGACTGGTTCCAACAGTTGAAACTTAAAAAAGAAGAATTCTTTGTTTTTTTTTTCCGTTTGTTGTTTCTCTTTCTTGTAAGAAAGAAAAAAGACTATCATTGTCTTCCTTCGTTGTTCGTTCATCACCCAGAATCCAGTTACAGCTTCGAAAAGTTTGACTTTTCATCACCTAAAATTCTTTTTTTTCTGAGTGGTCGTGCTGTTATCGGGAAATCCACCACTTTAATTCTCTCGCTGAAATCAAAGAAGATTTCTATAATAATTTAAGAGCTTGAATACCCAACACCCACGAACCCATCAACGCTTCATTCTCTGAGCTTCTTCATACGTCTAAGAACCCACATTTTCCCTGTGTCAGAGCCGAAGAACAGAGAGAGGAAACAAATGAAAGAAACGTCATTTGGTCATTTTTCTGTATTTACAAATTAGAATTTCAGGAGGTTGGATATCACAACCAATGGAAGTCATAGACTCCCACCCCTAAGGAAGCTTTCTCCTACTTCAATTCCTCTGTCGTTCAGTTTTCAAAAGTAGCTACCCATCACAACTGAATTCCGTTACAATGCTTCAATTCTCCTCCTCTTCTTCTTCGTCATTGTCGTCGTCGTCTTCATCGTCTCCTTACGTCGACGGTGCTAGAGTCGTCCCTCTTTCCTTCTCGCCAACCCAGAACTGGTCTCTCTCTCTGCAACGGACATTCTCAGGAACCTTCTCGTTGGATGATGAATCGCAGTTGGCCGACAACCATCGGCATTCGCCGGAGAATTTAGTTCCCACGGTCGCCGGCCTCGCAATTGAACGGCTGAGGTTCATCGATCAGGTGGCGAGCGGAGGGATGGAATGGAAAGACGTTGAGGACCGGTTCGACCGTCTGTCATCTACAAAATGCGGCTCGGTCCCCGTCGTGGACTGGTCGGATTTCGCTTACTGCATTGGTGAGCGGGACAACATGAGACCCATCAGAATCAGAATTCAGACCCATCTACGCGAATTTGCTAGAATACACCATGAATGATCATGCACAATTCACCCGTTTTGCAATTTATTCATTTTTCTCGTATTTCCAAATAAAAAAACAATTTATTTCCTTGATTTAATATCAATGGCGGTTGGTTTCCGTTATTGCCTCCGGCCGTCCGGCGACGACCATTGCCGGTTTGGTGAAGGAACTAGGCCGTCGTATCTTGAATCCTGCCGGAATTTTGCCCATTCTCACATGGGACGGAATTCATGGAAAATTCAAAGGTAATAATAAGAATTAATTTAATTCTTTTTAATTTTTTGCAGGAATGAAAGAGAGTCCAGAGTTCGCAGATGAGCTGCTGGGAGCACTTCAAGGGAGAAGAGATCGACACTTCGAGATCACTAAAACCGAACTTCATTATTATTGGCTTCGAATCACAGACCCCAGTTTCGGTTCAAGAATCCGGATTTTTTTCGACCTGTAAAAATTCATTTTTTTCTCGAGTTTCGTAAGCTAGCTATGAATTTTAATTTATGAATTAATAAGTTCTTCAATGAATGCGAATTTTCTGGTTCTCTACTTCTCTTCTCTCAGGTGTGACAAGAACATGGATGGCAAAATCACTGAAATGGAAATCAAGCAGGTGATGAATTAAATAAGAAAAATAAATTATTTAAATAAAATTGTTTTTTTTTCAATTTTTATGTGGTTTTCATCGTAATTTTTGAATATTTTCAGGTCATTTTGTTGAGTGCTTCTACAAATAAACTGTCGATGACGCCTGAAGAAGCAAAAGATTATTCAGCTTTGATCATGGAAGCGCTTGACACTGAAAAACGTGGCTTTATTGAGGTTGATCAATTGACAGATATACCCTCACAAGTTTTTTTTTTTATTTTGGAGACTGAATTTCTACCCAGAAAAAAAAAAAAGAAAAAAGAAAAAACGGAGGCTGACTGAGTGAAGCTCAAATTCAAACTGCAGCTAGCCCAGCTAGAGACTCTGTTCAAAGGAGGCTCAACTAAGGGCTCCGTTTCAGTTGATCAATTCATAAAGAATCCCGGCGACTGCGACGACGACGATGACGACCCGTATCGAAAGCCCATGTCTCCGATCGAAATTGCATTCCGGACGTACTGGAGACGGGCCTGGATTGTTACACTCTGGTTGATTGTCTGTTTCACGCTCTTCGCATGGAAATTCACGCAATATCRCCGCAGAAAGGCATTCGAGGTCATGGGCTACTGCCTCTGTACCGCGAAGGGAGCTGCAGAGACCCTGAAATTCAACATGGCTCTTATTCTCCTGCCGGTTTGCCGGAATACGATAACATGGCTTCGCAAGAACCGTTGCCTGAATTCCGTTATCCCATTCAACGACAACATCAACTTCCATAAGGTAATTATGGAGATTTCTTGAACGTAATTATGGGGATTTCACATAATTTTCTTTAGTGTAGCTGATTGCAGGGGGAATAGTGATTGGTGTGATCCTCCACGGAGGCACTCACCTAGCATGTGATTTCCCGAGGATCGCCGGCTGCAACAGTTCGATCTACCGGCGAACAATCGCTGCCCACTTCGGCAAGCGTCAGCCATCCTATCTGGAGATCCTGACCACCACAGAGGCCACTAGTGGGATTGCAATGGTAGTCCTGATGGGCATTGCCTTTGCTCTTGCCACTCATGTGCCACGCCGGCGTCCGTCGTCGCTGCTGTGGCCGCTGCGCCATGTCACCGGATTTAATGCCTTCTGGTACTCGCACCACCTTTTCATTCTTGTCTACGCTCTGCTCATCGTGCACTCGATGTTCCTCTTCCTCACCAAGAATGTAGTAGAGAAAACAGTAAGTTCGTCTAAGACACAAGTATCCCTGCCATTTTACACAATGCCAATCATGTCCATACTAATCTTCTTCTCTCTCTGAGTGAACTCCTCTGTAGACTTGGATGTATATCGCAGCTCCAGTCCTGCTATACACCGGAGAGCGGATTTTTCGAGCTGTTCGGTCCACATTCTACGACGTTAAAGTTATCAAGGTATATTACATTCTGTTTTTCTATCAAGAAATTGGATATATGATTAGAAAGTTCATCAATCAGTTACAGAAGCCCTAATTTCAATTTGAAATTCTCCTCTTGCGTTGCTTAATTTACAGTCCACAATTTATCCTGGAAAAGTTCTGTCGCTCAAGCTGAGCAAACCTGATGGATTTAAGTACTGGAGTGGGATGTATGTATTCATTCAATGCCCTCAAATCTCTCAGTTCGAATGGTAATTAATCTTCTCTTCCTTGTGCTTCCCCTGTAAAAATTATCGAAGAAAAAAAATAAAAAAAGAAAAACCCAAAAGTTCCTTTCAATGTCATAGTCAAATTTATATTTTCAGGCACCCATTTTCCTTGACATCTGCACCGGAAGATGACTATCTAAGCGTGCATATAAGAACCCTAGGAGACTGGAGTGATCAAGTCTATAATCTTTTCCAGGAGGTAAAGAAAAAAAGAGAAAGAAATTTGCAAATTTTCTGTGAATTCATATACAAAACCATTAATCAGTTTATGCTGTACAGGAACTGGTCTCAGGGAATTCCAACTTCCCAGAAATTCGCATAGATGGGCCCTATGGAGCAGCTTCTCAGGATCATGTCAAGTATGATACAGTCGTGCTGATCGGTCTCGGAATTGGAGCTACTCCTTTCATTAGCATCCTCAGGGATGTCGTTCATGGCCTGTCAAAACCACAAGCTGATTATGTAAAGTTTCGATTCTGGCGTTTCGTGTTGGTTTCTAAACTTTAGTCAATGAGAGAATTTTTGTTGTGAAAGTGGATGCTTTGCTCATTTTAATAGGTCTATGATGAAGAATCCGGCATTGCTAAGGTCCCTTCAAAAGCTTACTTATACTGGGTCACAAGAGAACAAGATTCTTTTGACTGGTTCAGAGATGTTATGAAGGAGATCTCTCAGACAAATAAGAAACAGGTGATTCCATTTTTGTCAAAATCATTCTTTACTTGTGCAAATCTATTAGAAATTATGGTGATTTTCTAACAGAAGCCTTCCAATAATTCCTGATTCTTTTATCTTTTTTGATTTTAATGTTTCATGTTAAGGCTGTAGTAGAGATGCACAACTTCCTTACCAGTGTTTATGAAGATGGGGATGCAAGATCTGCACTGATTAGTGCAATTCAAGCTTTATATCAGGCAAAGAATGGCATTGACATCGTCTCACAAACTCCGGTTAGTGCAATTCAGCAGTCATCAGTAGGCTAGACCAGGTTAAAAATCTAGCAGACGCCACTGCAATTGGCTTCCTAGTTAGGGCAGATGTGGATGCTCTAATGAAACCATTATCATGGTGAGATGATTGCAGTCTTGTGGTTTTTTCCCGCCAATATATGAATCTTGAAGGTCATATGGCCATGATTGATATTGAAACAATATGGTCATATTTGTCAAAGTAGAGGTACTAAGTTCATGTATGACAAACAAAATGGTGATACCAATTCAACACCCTACGTACTGAGGCAGTGGAAAGCCATCATCAGATCTCACACATCATGTACCATTGGTTTCAAATGCAATATGGTCCATGCTAGTGAGACCTAATCGAATTTCACCCCAAAAAGAAATCTTGTTCTCTTTTCTTTATAGGTTCTTTCTTTCTTAAATGATGGATCTGTTTTTTTTCCAGGTCAGAACACACTTTGCTCGACCAAATTGGTACAGGGTCTTCTCAAATTTGGCTAGTAAACATGGAGGAGCACGGATTGGTGAGTCACAACCAAAACCAAAGGAAACACTTACAGAGAGATGGACTAAAACCTAGATTTCCTTTGAATATCTTGTGGCCATTTTTTCTCGGTACTATTCTATATTATATACACAACCATAAAATTGACTATTGTTATTCTTGATTTAGTTTTAAGGTCTCAAAACTCAAAATTTGTGCATCTGGATAAGGTCGGTTAACAACCATAAAGTTGTTTATTTTAATCCTTTAGATGGGTCCTTCACCTGAGATTCCATTTTGACAACCCATGTGTGACAGTGTGAGAGATTCCATTTATTAGACAAGTCAAAGAAAAAGAATATTTTGAGATCTTTAGCCTTTAATAATATCTCAGTTAAATAACAATTGTAAGTAGAGAGTTGATCAGAAGTCAGAAATCTTTGGTTTTAAACAAAACATAAAGAGGGTTTGCTGTCTTCAGTATTTGGCATGTCCCTGTAAAGGAGGAAATTCTTGGCATCCATATTTTATTTATTCGAACCAGGTTATGGCACAAACTAGACCTGACCCAACTCAGCCCCACCAAATCCCCTAGCAAATATAATATATCATGTTCATGTTCCTAAAGAGAAATCTATATAAAACCCTAGTTTGATTAGGTTTCAGCTATCATGTTTCAATGTTCTTAACAAGAAATTCTAATAAAATCCTAGTTTGATTAGGTCAATCTGAACCCTAACATAGATGTGGGGTGTGGGAATGTATTTGCAAAGTTTTCAATAGCTCCTAGAATTGCAACTACTCATTGTTTGATGGGTCATACCTATTACCTAAGATACCTTCTAGGCCATAAGAATTCCTTTTATTAAGATTGCATGGAATTCTTTTTGTAATAACCAAATATATCTTTGGAAAAGAATTAATAACAAATTGCTCAAAAGCAAAAAAAAAAAAAAGGATCTATAAGTCATATGTTAGGTATACCAGACAATGAGGTGGGTGAGACCCAAAACAATATTTGGTCCCAACCCACCATATGATTTCCAAGAAAATGGTGAGAATTGGCCTTAAATTCTTACTTGCTAGTTCTACCTGATTTTAGACTAATAATGTGGTTTGGTTACAGGGGTTTTCTACTGTGGCCCTTCAGTTTTGGCAAGAGAGTTGGAGAGGCTATGCACCAAATTCACCACCAAAACGACCACAAGATTTGTGTTTCACAAGGAGAATAATTAATTGCTTCTCCCCCTTTTGGTGGGTTCTTTTTAGTTGTAAAATCTCTTGAATGAAGAGCACAACAACCACCAACCGACTAAGTTTTGTATTGAAGAAATTTCAATCTTGGGCATGCCTAAGACGAGCCCATTTGTCCATGAGATAACTATTTACTGTTGAAAACTAATGCAAAATATGAGTTCCCAAAATTCCCTTTCAAATGCTTCAAAGTATGATCTTTCCTACACAATTAACTCCCGTATAATGTGTGCCTCATTCTACTAAACTAAGGGAACTCTCCTCCAGATATGTCAGATTTAAGAAAACATGGAAGAGAATGGAGGAAATGTAAGCAATTAGAAATGTGAATACAATTGGCCTGTACCATTGCCAAGTAGTCTTAAGCTCAGTGCCATAGAAAAGCATGACTACAAGCAAGGGTGTATTTGGATCTCCGGAAAAATAAGATGTTTTCACCCTTTTTTGGGCAGCAAAAGGAGAGAAGGGCAGTTATTGCTATTTGCTAAACTAAAGTTGGTATATAAAGCTGCATTTGGCATCCTTATTTTAATGACTTATCTACTTCTTACAGTTTTAAAATTCCCCTATAAACATTGAGTTTTTAACAGTAAAAAGGAGACAGGTCCTTAAAATAAGGAATGTCAAATAAAACCTTAGCTTGTATGTTCCAAGGAGATGAGAGGGTTAAGTGCATGGTTTTCAAAACCAGACCAGACCGGAAAAGCTGGGAACCGGTCAGGTGACCAGTTCTGTTTTTCCCCAAAACCAATTTTTTGTCAAAAAAACGTTGATTTGGTCAACAAACCGCTGACCCGGGCAATTGAACCATTCAACGATTTTGACAATTATTTATTTATTTTTTATTTTTTGTCAGAACGGTTAGACCATTCAACCGGGAACCGGACCCCTGACCTGTACGCTGTCGGGTCGGTCTTAAAAACCATGATTAAGTGTATGTGCACAAATTCTAATTTCAGAAGATGTCTAAAATCCCGCCTCCAAAACCGATAGCACATATGCTGTGTGACCTTGGTCTCACTTGCGACCCCCCATTCCCCCAATGACTCATGAACACGCCAGTGATTGAAAAAAGAAGGGGCTATTTACTTGGTGTAATGTAAAATCTGAAGCCGTGTAGTGTGAAAACATGGATTCGAGTATGAGTGGCCAATTTATGCGCATGCGCACATACACACAAAAAAAAAGAAAAAAAAAA